TATATATATATATATATCATTCTATTTTTATTAAAAATTTTATTTTCTATCATTACTAATCAATGAAGTTACTGATAAAAAAAATTAGATAGAATTGTTTTAACTTAATGGTACTTTCTTGTCGTTTGTAATTTTATTTTGTTTTATCATTTAACTCTATTATGGGATTAATTTTGTTACATTTTTTTTTTCTTTCTCTTTCTATTTATTTTTAGTTGTATTGAAGTTTTAGTTTTTAAATCACTAATCTTTCTTTATTTTTTTTTTCTTTGCAGGTATTTTTATGTGTTTACTCTTTCTTTTGTTCCCAGATTTTTTTTTTATTTTTATTTTATTTTTTTTGTCTATATTTGTTAATCAATTCTTCTTACATCCAAATCTTTTTTTTTATTTTCTAATCAATTTAATTCTATTCCCATATTCATTTTGGGCATATTGTTAATCAATTCTATTTTCAAAATCGGTTTATATGTACTCTAGGATTTGATAAATTCTAACTTTTGCAACAAAATTTCCATCATTGGTGTGATTTACTAAGAACAAAATTAAAGTAAAAGAAGAGAAAATTTGTAATTCTATTCCCATACTTTTATTGGCTTATTTTTGTTAATGGATTCTATTTGACCTATTTTTGTTAGAGAAGATACATAGGTGCAAGAAATTATAGAAGATACATGAGGAAAGATTACAATTGGTTTATACCCTAAAATAAAATTAAAATAAATATTTCCTACAAATAGAATTAAAAAAATTTCCTAAAACTAGAATTAAAATAAAATAAAATAAAATATTTAATTATATTCCACTATTTTTATTGGTCTATTTTTGTTAATAATTTTCTAAATCTTACCATATTTTTATTGGTCAATTGATTTTTTTGTTTATCTTCCTAATATATAGACCTAGCAATTATCTAGACCTAACAAATAGACTTCAGCTATAATGGCTAGGATTTCTTTAAAAACAAAATTAAAATAAAATTTCCTAAAAAAATAAAATTTTCTAAAAAAATAATTAAAATAAAAGATTTTTTGTTTTATAAATTCTATTCCCATAATTTTTATTGGGCTATTTTTGTTAATCAATTTGATTTTCTAAATCTTTCTCTAGCCTATTTGGTTAATGTTTCTAAATCTTGTTTCTTTATCTATGTATTTCTTTTTTTTCTCTATTTCTTATCTCTATATTTCATTTTTTTTATTTGATTGGTATTCTGGTCAATCTTAATAGATTATTTGGCTAACATCTAATAATTTGATCACATAATATACATTGCAATGAAGTTTGAAGATCTAAGCTATAATTGCTGTGATTTTCGAAAATAAAATTAAAATAAAAGAAAATAAAATAAAACAAAATATTTAATATTACTTATCCATGTATATGTTTAAATTATATCAAATTAGAGTTAATACATAAATTTTAAATAAAAATAAGAGGTAAATCTCAATTTTTATTTAAAATTTTAAAATATTATATTTTTGAAATGTTGTTTTAAAATCAAGGGTAATATTTATAACTACCTTAAAAAAAACAATCAATAATAATAATAAAATTGTAACTAATTTCATCCTTCCACACATATGAGCAAATCAAGGGTAATATTTGTAACTACCTTAAAAAAAAACAATCAATAATAATAATAAAATTGTAACTAATTTCATCATTCCACACATATGAGCAACTCCTTTTCCCAAATATCTCTACTCAATACCTACTCCAATTGATAAGACAATTTTGCTAAAAAAAATAAATAAACAAAAAATGGTAAATTTCATAAAAGAGATTGGCATCCTTTTCCCAAATATCTCTCCTCAATACCTACTCCAATTGATAGACAATTTTGCTAAAAAATAAATAAACAAAAATGGTAAATTTCATAAAAGAGATGTCATTCTCTTACAAAGAAAAAACTGAACCGTAAATATAGTTTGATTTTTGTTATCATTATACTGTTATAGAAAATATGGATACATTAAAACAGTAAAAAAAATAAGAATCGATTAAAATTGGCAAACTGACTAAATAATAGAAGAAAAAAATAGGAAACACATAAAGAAAAAATGGGAGATATGAAATTCTTTCTTTTATTCCCAATATAATTCAAAAATTAATTAAAATTTGTCCAAGATAATTGGGAACAAAATGTAACAAAACAGTGTAAATGCGAACAAATATGATTAGTGGCCCCTATTTCCAACACTGAGTGTTATCTCGCCTCCACAAACATCTCGAGGAACTAGTTTCCTAAAAAAAGAACAAATATGATTAGTGGCCCGTGAATCCAGTATCCAGGTTGAGTGATCATACTCTACTAAACATATTTCTACAACTACTAAATCATATTTATTTTGTTGTGCCTTTTCATCACTTTTACTATGCCCATTTTCATTGCAATGGAAATATTTTTCATTATCTGCATTTTGAACCTTGCGTTTACGGTCAGTAAAAATCTTATCTTTCCCCTTATCTTTTTTGTCATATACATCTCAAACTGTTCGGTTTGCATTTGAGCCGGGATTTAGGGGGACATTCCTCAGTTAAAACAAACCTCAAACATGTATGTACATACATCTATATAGTATCGATATATATACATATATCTACATAGATATGTATTATGTATGTATCTACATATATTTACATAGATATGTATTATCTATGTATCTACATATATATATATCTATACATACTATACATATGTATGTATATAGATATTTATATATATACATATATATGTATATAGATATATATATATATACCCACACGTGTGTATATATATATATTAAATGGTAGAATATTACCCTTCTCTTTTCTTTCAATCTCTCACCCTAAAAAGTTCTCAAAATAGCCTCATCCTCTTCTCATTTCCACATTAAATGGTAGAATATTACCCTTCTCTTTTCTTTCAATCTCTCACCCTAAGAAGTTCTCAAAATAGCCTCATCCTCTCCTCATTTACACGTGGCTTCTCAACCAGTTGATTCCTTTACAAAATCATGACAAGAGGAATGTGTCTATTGCATAACGTTTCTACCTTCCTTGCAAGAATTTTCATCGATCAATTTTCATCTTAAATCTTTCTTCAACGACAATATGTAATGACCCGAAATTTTCTACTTAATTAAGGTTGCTACTCTATACATATCATAAATATGAATGCGAAAATACTTCATTTAAACTATCATAAAACGTTGCATTCATCTTAAAACACAGCCATGGACTTACATGTTTTGAAAACACCTTTAAAAACGACACAACAAAAGATTAAATAAAATAAATAAATGTTTAATTAAAAACATCATATTCTAGTGTAAGTCTAATAAAATAAATACGACTACCCTATGCATCGAGTTGCGATGTCGTCGTCAGCCTTACAAGAATGTCTTTCCTTAACCTGAAATAGAGGTAGCACGTGCCTTGAGTATTTTAAAAAATACTCAGCAAGTGACCCCACCGTCGGGGGTTAAATGCAACAACATGTGAATGCAATGACGGAACTATCATATCAGTCTCTTTTCCTACGACACTATCTTAATGGATAGCTTGGATGTGTACCATATACTCTACACACAACCCGTACGTGCGAGTATGGGCTCATTAGACAGTTCACACACCGTTTGACCCCTTTCTTATCGGGCGAGCCTGCTCTGATAACTTTTCTTATGCCGGACACCCATTACACTTAGTAACCATCACAACAGCATTATGTAAAACATAATGATACTTCACCTGCCTAATGGTGTACGTGTCCGTACCCTCGTAATGGAATAGGGGTATCCCCCAATGTATGAGCAAACATAATGCATGAGGTCCCAATATGTTTCCATTTTCATTATCATTTAATACAACCCCGCTAACGTTACGTATATTTCATGTCATTTTTTATATCATTTCACATATCGTTTATCATTCATATCATATCATTTCTCGTTTTTCAGTTCTCATATCACACATAACTCTAACGAGTTAGATTCATGTCATTTATCGTGATTTCATGTCATTCATATCATGTTGTGTACATACAATTTAAGAGACATAACATAGCATTCCATGTTTTTAACGTAACATCTCCTCATATACATCTCATACCATAACATATAGCATCACAATATATCATATCATAAACATGTCAATTTATCACATATCTCGTCCCATAACATATTTCATATAATTTTCATATCATATGACAACATATATATATATATATCAAAAATATTATTATTGATTGTTTTTTTAAGATGGTTACAAATATTACCGTGTATTTCTAAAACAACATTTCAAAAATATAATCTTTTAAAATGTACCTTCTATTTTTATCTAAAATTTATGTATAGACTCTATTTTGATATAATTTAAACATATACATATGTATGTAAGTACAAATGCTTTAAATTTTTTGTTTTACTTTATTTTTTGGGTCACCATTTGTGCTTTATGAAAACGCCCATATCAAGTTGGACAAATTTAGATAAAAATCCTCCCATTTGGATACCCAATATTGTGGGAGATGGTTAATTAATTTTTATGGAAAATATGAAGTTAAAATTCTAGTATATCACATTGAATGCTTACAAAATGCATGCTAAATAGATGTTCTCTATTAAAATTGTAACTAATTTTCTACTTAATTTAAAATCGTCATTATTATACATATCATGATTATGGAATGCAGAAATACTTCATTTAAACTTTCATAAAACATCATCTTCATCTTAAAACACAGTCATTGACTTACGTGGTTTGAAAACACCTTTAAAAGACGACACAACAAAAGACTAAACAAAATAAATAAACGTTTAAATTAAAGACATTCTATTCTAGCCTAAGTCTAAGAAAATAAGTACGACTACCTCTCAGTCAGTTAGCAGGGATTTATTCTCAAATCTTATAGAATTATATAAGCCTCTAATTCTCAATTCCGGGAATAAGGCATAAGAAAGTTGAGTGAAACATCTTCTGACTCTTGAATAACTTCAGGCATGCTTGGGTAACATCTGCTCCAAAAAATGTGCCTGAAAAAAGTACCATCCCTCTTCCCAGCTTGCAGTGATATGAGAATGAAATGAGATCTGTTGAGCCGATTGCAAACTCGAATAGGAGATGAAGTAGTGACCAGGCATGTTCCATGGTCTCAAGTTCCGATGCCGTCGTCAGCCATACACAAATGTCTTGCCTTAACTTGAAACAGAAGTGGCTAAGTATTTAAATAAATACTCAATAAGTGATCTCACTATTGGGGCTTTAAATGCAAGAGCATGCGAATGTAATGACAAGATCTGTCTTTTTCAGTTTATTTTCCTTCGGTACTATCCTAACGAGTAACTTGGACGTGTATCATATACTCTACCCACAACCCATATGTGTGAGAATACTCTGGGAGCTACTTAAACTTGACACTGTTAGAACTCATCCCAGCAGAATTAGGTTAAATATAATGTTTGTTTTCCTACCTGAAAGTCATAGCATTATGATAAACATAATGAATGTTTTTCTGCTTGGTCATCGTAGCATTATGATAACCATAATGATTATTTTTGTGCCTCGTAACGTACACGTATGTACTATCGTGACGGATAAGGGGTATCCCCCAATGCATGAACACTCAATAATGCATGAGGTCCCAATATTTTTCTATTTTCATTATCATTTAATACGCAACCCCGCTAGCATTCTGTACATATCATATCATTTTTTATATCATTTCACATATCTTTTATGCATACGTCGGAGTTCTATTTCATGCTAGTTCATCGTTTTGCATGATAATACCATCATATCATTCAAATTACATAAATATATCATATCATAATATTCCATGCTTCCCGACAGAATAATTTTCATCATGTACATATCATACCATAACAAATCGCATCACAATATATCATATCATAAACATGTCAATTATCACATATCTCGTACCATAACATATTTCATATTATTTTCATATCATATCACAATATATATACATATATATATCCGTCATTCACATGTCATATCATAATCATATCATATCTTAAACATTTTGTTGTCATATCGTTCCCTAACTTATCAATAGCCTTAATATTCGTATATCTATCATAATCATATTGTTACATGAACGTACTTTAGTCATATCCTTACAGGAACGTATTCGAACGCTATCGTTCTATCAATCTATTATAATCTTTACTTTTAGAGTAATCTTAACACTATCATTCTATCGTTCAATGCTTAATTTTAAAGCATATTGCTTTCTAAGTATTCTTAAATGAATTTTTTTAGAACTCGAAAATTCTATATTTGCGTGGTTTGGAAAACTACTTTAAAATTCATTTTACTTTCCATCTATTATTTTTTTCATTGGACTTGATGGAAAGTAAATGAATTTAAATACATAATTTTGTCAAAAGTTCTTCAAAATATTTTTATCTGTCTTGTTTCCTGTAGCTTCTAGATCAACTTTTACTACTGGTAAGAGAATTTTCATTGTTTTAAGAGTTCTTTAACACCTAAGACTGTTGACACAAAATTGTTGGATAAAAAATTAGTTTCAATAAATTTGTTATAAAACTTTGATAGTAATTATAAGTTCAGATGTATTTACTATCTCTAGGTTGCAACATTATTATATCACAATTTTTTTAAAAAAATAATTTAGGCCGTCGAACTTAAGTAAATTTTTTTCAATGTAAGCAAAATATTTTACAATATTTTTTATTTTTGATAGGTATAGTTTCTTTAAACTAATCATTTTTATTATGGATCAACTTTTACTATTGGTAAGATAATTGTTGATTGTTTTAGGAGTTCTTTAACACCTAACACTGTTGACACAAAATTGTTGGATAAAAAATTAGTTTCAATAAATTTGTTATAAAACTTAGTAATTATAAATTCGGATGTATTTATTATCTCTAGGTTGCAACGTTATTATATCTCAATTTTTTTAAAAAAATAATTTAGACCCTCGAACTTAAGTAAATTTTTTTCAATGTAAGCAAAATATTTTTACAATATTTTTTATTTTTTATAGGTATAGTTTCTTTAACTATTCATTTTTATTGTTTTTTATTTTGATGATCTATCGTATCCTTATATTTTCTTTACTCTCAGAGTAATCAATTCTCAAGAAGATCCCTGTTTAGTTGTATTTAGTTCTATAGTAATGTTGAATTATGTTAAGATGTTACAATTTTCTCTTGTTATTGTTGATAACTTTGTTTTAATGATTATAAATTGATTTGTGTTGGTTGAACTTTTAATATTTTTTATCTAAAATTCTATTTAATAATTATGAAATGTGGATAAATAAATTTTTTTAATTTTTTTTAGAGTTGACAACCGCACAACCCAACGCGAAAGTTTTCGGGTTGGGTTGGGTTGGGTTTGAAATTTTTTGGGTTGGGTTGGGTTATATCAATCCAACCAACCCGAACTTTTGGGTTGGTCAAAAAAATCTCCCAACCAAACCAAGACCATGTACACCTCTATTTTTTATCTCAGTTTACCGTTAGTTTTAGCCAATTTTTGTAATGAATTCTTACTTCCTCTCTAAAAATGGATACCACATTTCCTAAAACTCATAGAAAATTCTTATAGTTTAATCACTCATTCAAAACAAATTAATTGTAACCAAATTAATATCCTTCAATAAAATAAACTAATTAACTATAACCAAATTAATATCGGTTTAATAAAAAAAGGAAGACTTCTACCTCTTCAAATATGACATCAAGGGAAACTAAATCAAAACATTTTTGTTTTTCTATTTATTTTGGTCTATACCCTTAAATGTGCTTTAGTTTTTTATTATTATTATTATTATTATTTTTTATATATGTTTGTTTTGAGAGAAACTGCATTGTTATTTTAGATTTTAGGAAAGGAATGGTGAGACATAAAAGGAGAGAGGTGGCAATTAAGTTTTTTTTTTTTTTTTCTATGCAGACAGACTGGTCATTCTACCATTGAGCTAAGTTTTGAAGAAAGTTATTTGGGGAAGGAAACGTGAGAAATTGGTGGAAAGAGAAGGATGGTTTTTTCTTTTTCTTTTTTTTTAATTTTTTTTATTATTTATTTATTTATTAGGCTATAGGTTCTGTGAACAATTTTTGAAGAGATCTCAGCAAGGGTTAACTTTGACTATTTTTTTAATTTTTCTTTAGTTCCTTAGATATTTCTGAGCATTTTTCTCTTCTACCTCTTCTCAAACATCAGTCTCTAAGATCGTCAATAAAATCTTGGATCTTCAATTTAAAGCGAAAATATAGGTTTTCAGTTTTTCATTGGAGTTCGGGTATTACAATTTATGTCAATGAGTGTTAAATTATATAATGTTAATCAATGATGTAGAAATTAAAATTATATCTTGTTGGGTAAGGTAGCTTTTGAATAAAAGGTAAAGAAATCTTATTATAAAAGTTTTAGATTAAAAAGATCCTAAGACTAAATTATTGTTTTCACACCTATTATTAGAGTCTCTTGTCATGAAGGTGGATCATCTCATGAGATAGAACATAGAACAGTAGAGACCTTAGTGTAATACATCTTTATAGACCCTAACTAAACTTGCTACTATCACGAGGCTTCATAATAAATTTAAAGGAGGGCTTTCAGGAGATGTTGCTGGATTTGGGCTAGTTGGGACACGCCTCTTCGTGCCTAGACCCAATGGAGGCGTTTCGGGAGATGTTGCTGGATTTGGTCCAGTTGGGACACGCCTTTTGGTGCCTAAACTTGAGGTAGGGCTTTCAGGAGATGTTGCTGGATTTGGGCCAGTTGGTACAGATCTCTTAGTGCTTAGACCCAATGGTGGCATTTCGGGAAATGTTGCTGGATTTGGTCCAGTTGGGAAACGCCTTTTGGTGTCTAAACTTGAGGGAGGGCTTTCCGGTGATGTTGCTGAATTTGGGCCAGTTGGGACATGGCTCTTCATGCCTAGACCCAATGGAGTCGTTTCAGGAGATGTTGCTGGATTTGATCCAATTGGGATATGCCTTTTGGTTCCTAAACTTGAGGGAGAGCTTTCAGGAGATGTTGCTGGATTTGGGCCAGTGGGTACACGCCACTTAGTGCCTAGACCCAATGGAGGCGTTCTGGGAGATGTTGCTGGATTTGGTCCAGTTGGGACACGCCTTTTGGTGCCTAAACTTAAGGGAGGGCTTTCAGGAGATGTTGCTAGATTTGGGCCAGTTGGTACACGCCTCTTAGTGCCTAGACCTAATGGTGGAGTTTCGGGAGATGTTGTTGGATTTGGTCCAGTTGGGACACGCCTTTTGGTGCCTAAACTTGAGGGAGGGCTTTCAGGAGATGTTGCTGGATTTGGGCCAGTTGGGACACGCCTCTTTGTGACTAGACCCAATGGAGGCATTTCGGGAGATGTTGCTGGACTTTGTCCAGTTGGGACACGCCTTTTGGTGCCTAAACTTGAAGGAGGGCTTTCAGGAGACCTTGCTGGATTTGGGCCAGTTGGTACACGCCTCTTAGTGCCTAGACCCAATGGTGGCGTTTCGGGAGATGTTGCTAGATTTGGTCCAGTTGGGACACGCCTTTTAGTGCCTAAACTTGAGGGAGGGCTTTCAGGAGATGTTGCTAGATTTTGTCCGGTTGGTACACGTCTTTTGAGACCCAAAGAAAGCACATTGTCACGCTCATCCCACTTTGCCTCGAGACCATTGAGATTGGACAAAATAGCAACTAGAGAAATCAACAAGAAGGCATAAACCATATTGACATTTTTAAGCAAGCCTATTTTGTCTTCACACAAGTATTCTAACTATGAAATCACAACTTTATATAAACTCTCTTATCAACTAATTTAGAAATGTAGTAATAGCTTTTTGTAAATATATTTCCATTTTTAAACAATTTATCATCTATAATGATATTTTGTTGGATAAATTTTCCTAATTTATTGGTAACCAATGATTTTTGAAAACTAATTAGGCTCTTGTAAGAAATATATCTAATCATTTCCATCTATTTTATTTTAGAAAAATTTCCATCTAATTAGAATCTTGTTAAAAATATTTGCTGGAATCTTGTTAAAAATATTTGAATATAATTTTAAATCTAAAAGTGTCATGTTATTTTTTTTTTTTTTGAGTCACCATTTGTGCTTTAGTAATCCTCCCATTGACAAGTTTAGATACTCAATTATGTAGGAGCGGGTTAATCCTCCCATTTGTGCTTTAGTAATCCTCCCATTGATAAGTGTCATGTAATTTTTGTATATTACATTGAATGCTTAGAAAATGCATGCTAAATAAATGTTGTCTATTAAAATAATTTTAAATTATGCAATTTAAAAAAAAATAATAATCAAATAGTTGTTGTTAAATTATCGAATTTTAATCATATATTAATAAATGAACATAAAAGACTATTTATTTGATGCTAGGTGACAACAAAATGAAGAAAACCACTCATCTATCATCAAACCTCTTAAAATGATAAATCTACGGTGTCTAATTTTTTTTTATCCTCGTATATCACTAGTAAATGTAATTGATATGTTTATCATCTTTTTATCTTATCAATAGACTAAAAATTATAAATGTATCGTATTTAATTTTGTTTCTATCGATAATTGTTTTCGTATTCATTTTTAAAAGTCTATAATTATACAATATAAAAAGTGATGTATTAGTTGTAACGACCCTAAAGTTCTATATACTCAGAGTCTCTACTAATGTCTCAAACTCATCTCTCATGCGGAAATATAACTCTTAAAAGAAAACGTCATCTATAGTATAAATATCGAAAACATTAAAAACATTTTCTTTTCTGAAAAACACAGTTATGGTCTTACGTGTTTAAATACAAAATACTAAAATTTAGAGAGAATAAAAACAAATACAAAATAATTTAAAACAATGAAATGCATAACTATTCTAACCTAAAATATGCTTATGAACATACGACATGCATTTTGTCTTTCTAAATCCCATCATAATATATTTCTTGACACAACCCTCTAGTTTCTTTTTTTTC